TTATTTACATGGAGTGACGGCTTGAAATTCTTGATTCTACTGTTATATGTAGATGATATCATTCTAGCGAGCAATGATAATAACAAATTATTGGAAGTAAAAGCAAAACTAAAAGCTGAATTTGAGATGAGTGATTTAGGGGAACCTAAAGAATTCCTTGGCATTTCAATTACAAGGAACCGAGAAAAACAAGAAATCGTTCTAAATCAAGAAAAATATATAAATAAAGTTTTATCCAGATTCAATTTCACTGAAGCTCATCCACAAAGAACTCCTATGGTCACAACTCAGGTCACAAATCGAGAGAGAAGAGAATATTGATGATTCGATATTAAATGAAACTAAGACGCGAGAAAACTTTCCATACAGAGAAGCAATTGGGAGTTTACTATATTTGGCAGGAGCAACCAGACCTGACGTGTCATATGCTGTCAACGTGTTAAGCAGACACCAAATTAATCCTACAGAGGAGGATTGGAAAATGACCAAAAGAGTATTTAGATACTTGAAGGGTACAAAATCTCTCGGCTTAAGATACACAGGTGAGAAAAATGATATGCAAGCTTACTCGGATGCAAGCTTTGCAGACTGTAAGGGTTCTCGAACAACTTGTGGATATGTAATAAAGCTTTTCGGAGATGCAATCACTTGGAGAACACATAAGCAACCATACATTGCAGTTTCGACTTGTCAGGCAGAATATGTTGCAATGAGTGAAACATGCCAAGAGTTAATCGCAATGAATAACTCTTTACAATTGATTTTGAATAAATCAATTTGTCCGATGCTTCTGTGGTGCGATAACAGAGCAGCAGAAGCTAGTGCTAAAACTAATGGTGGCAACAAACTGAGACATATCACAGAAGTGAAAGAACATTATGTCAAGGAATGCGTGGAAAGAAATTTTGTAACAATCGGGTGGATTCCCTCAAAAGATCAAATCGCAGACATTTTCACGAAACCTCTTTCCTTTGACATGCATAAATATTTAACTGATAAAATAATGAATAATAATTAATTATGATTTGACTAATAATTGTTTATGTTTTTCAGAAAAGTAGACGGTGTGCTGAACGATCAGAAGCTAGGTTCTCGAAGAAACGAGACGTTAAACAGAGATGTGATGTAAAATTAAAACATAGAATCAAAACCAAATTGTTTAACAAATCAGATTAAAAACGATATTATTATTTTGTTCCAGTTTTTGATGTATACAATTTATACTGTTTATTTAATATTTTATATGTTCTTAATATGAGATTAGTTTTATGTTCTTGAATAATTAAAATATATTCTTTTGTTTTTGATAAGCAATTATTCAAGAGGGAGTGTTAGAATTATGTGACTAAAAGCTTTTCAAACTAGTTATATGTTCCAACCGAGAGTGGCGCTGTTTCGCCACGGTTCCTTTACAGTGGAACATCTACGCTTTTGTTCCTTGTTCGCTCTCTTTCTACTTTGTTGCGACGCTTACAAGACGAGAATAAAAACGTGTCTTTTTCCAAATCTATTTTTTCGTGTTTTATTTGTCTGGGCCTTCATATAATCTAACACTTGGTTTTATCAGGATCATCTCTATAATTTAATCCTTCAAATTGTCATGTGGATCGCCTATTGCAATGCACATGGCATATAAGAATATTAAACAAGAATTACGATTTCATCTTTGATACCACTCTTGGACAATCAATAGTGTTGGTAGAGATCGTTAAAAAGCCTCTGACCATTGATTTTTCGTGGCTTGACTCTGAAGATTTATTTGTTGGTATTTTTGTTGTTTTGTTAAATAATAATTTATTCAATTGAAGATTTGGAAAGTCAGTCGTGTTGGTAGAAATCTTTCGAAAGCCCCTGACAACAGACTTTCCTCTTCGACAATTTTTAATTGCCAATTTGAAAACAACCGATCGTATTGGTAGAAATCGTTAAGGAGCCCCTAACAATTGATCACTCAAAATTAACAAATTTTAAATAAATTTTATTTTTGGTAACGATTTAATCTTTAATATCTTTTTCGCCCAGAGATGCAGATCGTTTAGGTAGAGATCGTTAGAAAGCCCCCAACAATCTGCACTTCTCAAGTTTGAAAGACTTGACTTTGTACATTTGGTTGTCCTGAAATTTCCTTATATTAAAATATAAAAGAAAGTTCTTAAGAGTATAAAACTGTTCAGATCAAAGAGAGAGAAACGTGCATTTACTTGGCTTATATAGTTGCGTCCCTACCCTTAATTTTCTGGGGTAAGTAAAATTCAAAATGTGCGAGTGTGTGAGTAAAAAATTTTAAATTGAATGAGCGAAAATTCGCCAGTTTCCCTCACCACTTTACGCAGGGCGCTTCTCCCATGTATTTCTTACCGCCAATTTCTCCCTCTATTTGGGTTTTTCGTGGCGTCTATTTTCGGATAGCCAATTACATTTAAATTATTTTCTAAGGACAGAGATATTTTTCTCTCTCTAATTTTCCGTTTTTAACGCTCGCCGAGAACAATGCCATTGTCTACCTGTCAATCATTCTTTTAACTGATTTTAATTTTCTAAAATCTTGAATTTCTCAAAAAATAATAACTTTAAAATTATTTAACTTTTACCATTAATTTTTAAATAATTCTTACATTAATATAGCATATAATTTTATTTAATTATTATTAATTTCAGCAAAAAAATATAATAATTTTTATTATTTTATTTTCTAAATATTTAAAAAATATTAAATTTATTTATTCTTTAAATAATAATCTGTAAAATTTCTTCAACAAAAATCTTTAAGTTGGTTTATTTTCGCCCATCCCACATAATGATTGTTAACAAATTTTTTTATATAAAAATCAACCGTCATATTTTTATAAAGGTTTGAAATCTGGAATTAGCTCCAGACTCCCAAATATTACGTCGCGGTGGACAAATATAGGTTAATGTAATATTAAGTGTAAATTTAGAGATTATTAAAAATTTATATGTTATATGGAAGATGTTATTTTTTTATGTATCTATGCGCGTCCTCGTCGACATCGTATATTAACACAAGGTCTTCCATGCCGGTATTTAATAGGATAATATAACTGCTTCCATAGTTTTCTAGTTCTGTTTTAAATATTACAGGGACTGCCAAAAGGCTATCGTCGTAATCAGTTCTATTTCTACGTCCTCTTTGTGCGTTAATTTGGCTTTTATAGATGATGGATTTATTGAATTTATGATTCTCATTTTGTACTTTTTATTGTTAAGAACCATGTCAGGATATATTTTATACCCTGTTACTATATCATTTTCCCTTAAATTTTGTTGTAGCATCTTGAAAAGAAACTAAAGAACAAAAAAAAATAATAATAATCATAATATTTTAATTAAATTAAAACATGCTAATGAAAAGGAGAAATGAGATTTATAACTTATTGTTTTTTTATTTTGTTTTTATTCTGATTATATTTGGATAAACAATCCCATTAACCTATACAAATAGTGGAAAGGGTTCTTCCTCCTCCATATTATTATTTTTTACATTCTCATCACATGAGAAGGTATTATAATTGGTCGAAAATTGACTTTTACTATTTCCATGAAATCTTTATGTTTTGAGGTGCCCTGAGTCGAAAAAACATGGTCCGGCGAAAGTGTCTGTCTGTGTGTCTGTATGTATGTATGTATGTATGTATGTAGACACAAAATGTTGTTGACACAATAACTTTTGTAAATCGAAACAAATCGTTTTGCAATTTTGCATACACAAAGTTAGTATCAAAATACAGGTTAAGTTCGTTAGCCAGCCATTTTCATCAAAAAATGCAAAAACTGCGGGATTTTCAAAATTTTCAAATTTAATTTTTTTAAAAAAAAATTTTTTTTCACTACACAGCATTACAGTCCAGGAAAAAGAAAACATTTTTTTTAAATAAAATTTTTTGATTAAATTAAAATTGTAAAAGTTACAGTGGTTTAATTGTCGAAAAACACCTAAAAAACGCCAAAAAAGACATTTTTTATGAAAAATTAAATTTTATTAATGGGTTGAAAAAAATCAGTCCATAAAATAGACACATTCTCATCATAATAGACTCAGAAAATATGATACAAGTGAAAAAAATATCAATTAAAAAAAAAACCACTCTATATACATATTATTTATATTTTTTTACACAAAAATCAGAATTTCTGACTCAATTATCTTGTAATGTATTCATTTTGGCATAATGATCTCACAGACTTTTTTCTTCAAAATTTTATCAGCTACAACTTTGCCATTAAACATTATCCCAGATAGCACGACATTTTTCGGCAAGTTTGCGGCAAGTTTGCGGCAAGTTTGCAGTGCAAAGTTCGGAAGTTTGCGCGGCAAGTTTGCAGCAAACTTTAAATATGTATAAAAATGTCCCCCCATTGGCAAGTTTGCAATGCAAATTTGCAGCAAATTTTAAAAGTAAAATTTCTGAAAATTTCCAAGAATAATTGTTGGAAAAATTGCGCGGATAATTTTCTCCAAGTTTGACTATAAAATTTTAGGAGAAATAAATTATAAATTTTGTTTAATAATAAATACTAACATTTTTGCAGAATTAAAAATTACAGAATTATTAAAATAAATTTTCCCATAAACCTCTTAATCTAGGAACAGAAAGACAGAAATGCAGGATTAATTTATTATAAAATTTATTATAAAAATGGTACATTTTTTTATGTTTAATAAAAGTAAATTTTTTAATGCCTAATGAATTGAATTCATAAATAAAATTTTTTTTATATCTATTAGCTAATAGTTGTTAAAATAATAGAAAGTAAATAAACATTAATTTTTTTGTCTAGTATAATTCATTGAAATATTTTTATGAAATTTAAGTCAGATAGAATTAAACTGAAAAAATTTTTAGATATTTGAAATTTGATATATATTTGAAATGATATTTTGATATTTGAATTTATTTGAAAGATTTGAATATGTTTGAAAAGAATTAAATATTTTTTTCTAACAATTTTTTGCATTATTATTTATGGAGATTATTTTACTGTAGATATTTATAAGTGTATTTTGTTTTAATTATTTAATTTTAAAAAGTAATTTTTCAGAATTATTAACATAACAATTTTTTATATCTTTTTCAAATTGGAAGTAATTTTTCAAAAAAATCGGTAAAACTATTTGAAACCAATTGAAATTTTTCGGTTTGCAAGTAGCTTTTTACGGGCTTTTATTAGTGTGAGCAACTACACTGAGAAACAATATTATTAAATAACTTCCAGAAATTTTTAAATTGCTATGCACAAAATTTATGCACTTAAATACGCATTTTAAATAATTTTCAAAAGTATTTTTTTCGTTACTTCATTTTTTTATAAGGCTATCATAAACATTTTAAAACCAAAGAAATTATTTTAATTTCTGAATCCTAAATTGCATTTTACTTTACAAAAATATATTGATTACAATGCAGGCTTCACAGTGACCCTAAAAAGTATTTTAGGAGAAATAGGGGACTAAAAATATAAAAATAGAGGACTTTTAGGGGACTATGAAAATTATTTAAATGATGCTGAATTTCTGTATTTTCTTGAGAAAATGACATCAATGTACCAATTTTCAGTTTTGTCAGTGTTTACTGTGTAACCGAAACCTCAAAAATTAAGATTTTATAATGCCTTTGTGGAAAAAAGGGGAAAGTTAGGAAAAGGTTTGGAAATAGGGGACTTTTTAAAAATTAAAAAATGGGACTTTAAGGGAAATAGGGAACAGCCTGTGAAACCAGCAAATGAAACAAACAAGATCTTGAAATATATTGTTAATTTTACTTGCTTCTGTATCAGAAGCGATTTCTTAACAGTTGTTTTCTTCTCCTCCTTGTAGACCTGACTGATGTTACATTATTCACTATTAAGCACGGTGACTTATGTTTAGTTATTCAGATGTTAATCCTTGCTGATTCTAACTAAAATAAAATTTTCCAATTTTTTATTCCTTGTGATAATTCGATTTTCAGCAAAACAACCTGCACGATCTGCAACACAATAAAATTTTACTGAAAATAAAGGTGTATAATATCAGCTACTTGAAAATTGATTTACTTTGTTTACTTCACTTTAGATGTTGCTAGTAATAAATTCTTTTATTTACTTAATTTCTTTAAATACAATAAAAGCTGGCAGTAAACGAAATTTAATTCTGCGTGCAGTCACATTAGATCAAAGAAAAACTACGAAAATATTTTACGATTTACTTTCCTTACGCTCGGTCGAGAAGTTAATAAATGTTCAACTTTCTCAATGCTTTTCTAACCAAGAAAGTTGCATTTTCAGAGCAGGCGTTGGAGAAAATAAATTTCATTTTAAGCAAATGTCTTTTTAAACTTGTTGCTGTTCCAAGCAGAACATAGCGTTCCAAATAATTAATAAAACACACACACACATTTTTTATATCTCAAGAGTCGCTCTATCAAAGAGCATTCTGAAAAAGCTAAAACATTCTAAATAAGCAATTTATACACCATTTTTTTAAACACGATTTTTTAGATTTTTTCATAAGTTTTTGCAATTTTTTCATAGCTAAAACTTTCAGAACACGTTTAAATATTATAAATATCTCATAAAAAAGATTAAGACTATATAAGCTAAGGTTATTTTGAGAATTTTATTTTTAAATGGCTGACACAAAATGGTGACTAAAGTCACTTTTTTAAATAATTTAATAAACAAATGGAGAAAATTTTCAAAAGTAGTTGGTTTTTTTTAAACTCGTTACTTATTGGAGAATTTGAGGTCATTGATTACGAATATGACTTTATTTTTAAAAAATTTACAAGAAGATTAGATTGTCTTGAAATTTTGAGGACGTTGTTTTACAAATATTACCTTAGTTTTTAAAAACTCTAAATGGCGGATCCAATATAGAGGACAAATTAACAATTTTTTAAAAAACGGGCGAATTTTTTTTAAATTGGTTGTTCAGGGGTTTTTGGGATTAATGATTACGAATACAACTTTAATTTTAAAAAAATTTTAATTTCATTTAAAGGCATTTTAAAGGGTTTGACTGTAAAAAAATCCCAAAATCCAATTTAAAAGTGTAAGAAAATTGTGTCTTCTTTTGAAAATAGTATATATTAAAATTTTTTTATTTACTTATTTTTTGAGCATTCCGTTCGATAGAACGACTCTTGAAAAATAAAAAATATTCAAATATGCCTTTAAACTTAATGTGAAATTTTTGTACATCCTGTCCTCAATAGATTAATAAAAAATTTATTTTTATCATTACAAAAATGTTTTCTGACTTTCTCTTGATTTTTATTATTAATACGATAAATATTGTCATTATTGATTTTTGAATGAAATAAATTTTAAGTAAAATTTTTTTTTCTACTATATTTATATGATGGGTGTGTGTTCACCGAATTTTGTTCTTCAAATTCCCGGTCATTTCACGATTTCCCCGGTGACATTAAAGTTATTTTTTATTACAAATAAATTGTAAAATTAAAATAAATAAAAACATCTTTAATTTTAATGTATATTTCCAGATATTTCCCATACCTTTTCTATATATATTTTTGAATTAATTAATTAATAATGATAACGCCCTGGGAAATAAATCATTGAAGCACAGAGAAAATAATAAAATCACAACTTACCTTTTTCTCGAGCAGCTAAGATAATGCTCTTAATGATAAATTCCATTGTTTTATGAATCTTCAGTCCACAATTAGAAATTTTCCAAAATATATCCCTTCATACAATGCTTGTATCAGTACTGCGGAAACATATATGAACCAATACTAAAGACAAGTTTCATATTTGAATATTAAAAAACTTCCCACTCAAGTTCATGAAATTTGATGCATCCCTTTTTTAGTAACTCGTCTATTTTATCATTCCCCAATAAACTTTCTAGAAAATAGAATTTTAAAAATTAAATATATTTTTTAAAAACTTTTATATTATTTCATAATAAATTGTTAACTTATATTTTGGATTAACTTTGAGGTAGAAAAATAACTACTTAAGTGAATGCAAGCCCCGAAAAATATTATCATCAATATTTAATTTTTTTAGTGTAATTTCTAAAAATTATTTTTATTGAAATTTTCGGGAAGCTTTTTTACTTCTAATCGTTAATAAATTTTAAAGTGACTCTTAAAAAAATTATTTAAGGCTTTATATAAAATTGATAAGCCAAATGATTAGGAATAACTTCAAGTTCAGAAAATTCTTAAGATTTAAACCCTTCTAAAATTGGAAAAATACTTTAACTTAAAAAAAACTTTCAAAAACTCAAAACTAAATTTTTTATTCTACGTTCGGCTTTGTTATTTAAAGATTTAATAAATAATTTGATGAATCATATTTTATACTTTCTACAGTCATAAAAAATGTAATTAATTTTTTAAAATTGTTTTTATTTATATCTTAATTTTTAAAAATTTTATATATTTATTTAATATAGTTCATATTTACCAATTTCTCTCACTTTCACAATTTTGACTGTAATTTCTTAATCGGCTACTTCAGAGATTGCTATTTACAAAAATGTAATGCAGAAGGGTCAATTCATACGAGGATAGGAGACAAAAATCGCCAATGTTGCTTTTCTTGATTTCTGTAAATAAAAAGTACAATTTATAAAGAAAATTTTTAAACCCATTTTTATTGCGTATTTTATCATTATCTACTTGAGAATGTTTTAATTTTATTATTAATTAATTATTGAGTAGAGAATGCTACAAATGATTAAAAATTAAAATAATCACTTTGTGATAAGTGTGTAACTCACTATTATGATTATCTTCCAGCATATAAATCTAAGTTTTCAATATTTTTCAAATGGTATTCATATAATTATTAAGTGTTGCAAAGGGAGCAGGATTACTTCTTCTGAAGTTGGTACTCTCCATACTTTGCACAGTAAGTTTTTTGTCGAAGTGGAGAACATGGTGTCTTTCAAAAGAATTCCTTTATGTATGTTTATCAACCTAGAATCTGGGAATTCATATAATGCATCAGTAGACATGATTCTCTGTACTATTAGTCGTGTATCATTGATACAGTCGATAATATTTAAAACTTGACCGAAGGTACCGTCCTTTAACAAAACGCAACTATTCTTTAATTGAAGAGAATTAATTTTAACTGATTCAGTCTGGAATACTTTATACTGTTTTTTTATATCGGAGACATCTTTAGTAATTGGTCCGGTGTTGTGTGGTCTTTGCAAATTTGTTTTTTTAATATTCACATCATTTAGTACAGCTTCGCGTTCAGAGTATCTTTTGGCAATTTGTTCAAGAGGTTTATGTCCTTTTTTTATCATTCTCTTTATCGTTGACATATAGTTCTCGAATCTAAAAGCACTGTACTTGTCCAAGCGTCCAAACTTCTTAACATCCGCAATAAGGTGTAATAAGTTGTGCACATTATGTGACACAAATTGTTCCCCATAAATATTTTGAAAACCTTGGACAAAATTTACTAACAATTCGTGACAAGACTGTATATTCTCTGGAGAAAGATTAATTTCGCTCACTAAAACAGATATCGCAGTATGTAGAAGTAAGAAGTTCTCATACATTTCCTTTTTTACACCATTTACCATTATTTTCTTCAAAACCACAGGTCCTGTATATAATAAGAATGTCCGAAACTCTGTTGCCTTCCAATGTGCATATGTCAATAACGATCGTGGTTTTCTCCCAAATTCACAAGGTATGCTGCAACGAAGATTCAACAGTCTTTTAGAAATTTTTCTTATTTCTTCTGAACTTAATCTCACTTTAAGTGGACCCTTCACCCATAACTGTATGAGTTTCTTAATTACACCTAACAATACCAGGTGCATATAATCTAAAGGCACATTGGAGATGCAACCGAAATTTGGAATTTGGGTTAAGATTGTCTCTTTTCCATTGTCGAATTCTTGATAATCATTATTAATAAATCCTCCATCTGTTTTCAGAGGTGAAGGTTTGATTCCTGGAAAACATACAGTTCCCCTTTTTTTCGACCTTTGCCTTTCTTCTTACGTTTTCCTTTACCTTTCTCATTTCCTTTTCGCGCAATATATTTACCTCTAATGGTGCATTTTGAACAGCTATTATATCCCGTATGTCCTTTCAGATAAAAGGTGAAAGATTTTGCCGGAGCATCGCAAACTATAGCTGTACACGATATTGAAACATCAGAATCTTTTAGTTTATTATTACATATATAAATTAATTCTTCAACAAATTCCTTTAGAAAATCATTAGCATCTTCTGGTTTTGATGCGCCGTAAAACGCTCCAACAGGATATACTATGTCTCCATTTATTTCAGAGCATAGAATTAACCAAAGGCTTTCAGTCCCAGATTTTGAGATGGGTAAACCATCTATATTACATATTAATTTAACTTCCTTAATTGATTTTCCCCTTTTCTGGTACTCTCGAAGAATACCCCTTACGGCTCTCTCGACACCAAAATGATAATATTGCCCACCGCAAATTTCCGAAATTTTTACAAATCTGACTGTTCCCATCAAGGTTCTTGCATCCAAGGGCAAAGGAAATGGTAAAACTGATTTTAAAAGAAGTAGCAATGCAGTCAAAGCAACAAGGCTAATGTTAAAAATCAAAGCCCAATGACGCAATTTAATTTTAAAAGCATTTCCACAAGAGTCCTCGTCTACCAGATCATCATCTGTGTCTTCGTTTGAGGATAGTTTGTTTGAATTTTCACTATCGCCATCAAAAGAAGTATCCATTAATGAGTCATCACTACTGTCAGAAAGTAAAACCTCATCTTCAGAATCATTATTGAGCACATTAAGTGCATCATTTTCAACACTGAAAGAAAAATAATATAAGGTGCTTCAACAGGTTTCTTAAAGATAATTAAACAAAATATCAGTTTATAATTTCACTTTTTAAAATTAATTTTTTCAAAAAGATAAAAAATAAAATGATAATAATATGTACTTTTCTTTAAAAACATGCTCCATAAATTTCATGTGATCAATAGTTTTGTCAAAATGAACAAGCCTTGCTGAAATTTCGTATAAATTAGGCATTTATTTAGTAATTTCAGTCAAGTTGCAAAATAATTAAATCTAACCATTTGAATATTAAGAAATAAGATTAAGCTAAATTCAGGCAAATACCAATTCTAATTTTCTAATACTTTGATTGAGGGGGCAATACCAATTTTAGCGCGAAAAATTTAATCATTTACAGAAATTTTTTTTCTTGAAAATCACCAATATTTTTCGTTTTGGAAACTATTTATTATTTAAAAGTACATGTATTGAAGCTACCTTTAATTACTTTTAATTTAAAAATATTATAAAAGTTAAAGAGGAATTATTATTATAAAAATGAAATACATCAGTCAAGCGGCATAGAGTCCTGCTCAAACGTGTGTGTACACTGTCGCGCGCGTAACCAGTACACCGAGTTGAAATTATTATTTAAAGCTATTAAACCAACTCGGCCATTCTGAATCTATTTTAAAAATTCTTTCTTATATTTTCAGGCACATTAAAAAAAATTAATAAAAAATACCCCAATTCAAAAAAATTCATTTTGTTTATAAAAAATTTTCATTTTTTTAATGAAAAATTGAAAAAAAATTTTATTTTTCTAGTTATATGCCATTGAAAATAAGTCTTCATTTAAAAAATCAAAAATTTTAAAAATTCATTATTAAAAAATTTCGCCAAAAATAAAAAAATACATTTCTTTTTTTCTTTAATACAGAACAGAAAAAAATATGTTTGGGTGATTTTAAAGGGTCGACTGAAGTTTCACGTGATTTCGCCCATATATATATTATATTATATTTATTTTTATAATTTATTTTATTTATTACATATATATATATATATATATATAAATTAATTAAAAATTTTGTAAGAACACTTTTAAATTTATATACTGAAAAAAAACAAAAAGGGTAAAATTGGTATTTTTGAAGTGCGAATTAATGTTGCCCCCCTTAAATTCATATTAAGAAATGCTAAAAATGTTACTTATTGAAAGTCACAAGCTTTGATAAATGGTCGGCTTTTTAGTTGATTCAAAAAATCTGAATAGAATCAGTAAAATATGCAAAAAAATACGATATACATTGCAGTAAAATGTAGTTCAACAACAAAACATTTGAGAATTTACATATAATATTATTATGAGCGACAAATTTACTTTTTGAAAATGTTAATGTTACTTAACATATTCCGCAATTACTTGGAAACAATTTTTTGTGTTCTAAATATTATTGGTATTAAATAAATGAATATATTGTTAATATTTTGCTTCTCATAAAAAGTAATAAAGTTTTTTTTAGGAATACACAATCTTAAGAAAATAACAAATTTCATTACATAAATACCTATAATCGTTGACTTGTTTCACAACATCGTGGTTAGCATCCAAACAATTAGTCATATAATTACTCTCCACATTTTTACTAGATTGTAATACCTGGGTGGACTCTTCATATACATCGCTTTCCAAGACTGACAAGTGTTGCTTTAAAGTGGACCTTACGGAAAAAAATTATATTAGAATAATAAAGATAATGAATATTACTTGAACATGGTATCATCAATTCTTTAAATTCATAGTATCATTCTATATAAAGTAATTATAAACTTTTTGTTTTTCAAGAAGATTAAAGTGGAGTTATGGTTGATCAAGTAGAGTTCAAGCCATGAGGAGCTGCAAAGTATTCCGAGTTATTCAATGATTCTGTGTAATCAAACTTTTCAAGTTTTCGAATTTATTTATTAATTCAAAAATATTAAATTTTCTAAATTTATAAAAAAACTATAAAATGTTCAAAATTTTGAAATTTTCAATTACTTTCTTGCATTTGAGTACTGGAATGTGTTGAAGTTATTTTAATTTTCGAGTTTTTTTAATACATTCATAGTCACTTAACTTGGCTCTACTCTTTAAAAAAAGTCGGCTCTACTTGGTTCATCTGTTTAAATTTTTTGCAAACCTCTACAACTTTAAGATTTCAACTATTATGATGATAAATTTTTGTTATTTTTAGTTACATGTAATGTACGCTATGGTAATATTATTATGATACAGTTTAATAAAATATAAGACTATTAATTTCTTTGCAAAAGATAATTTTTAAAACATTAGTTCGTTTCGATAATGATAAATTAAAATTCAAATATCTTTATGTCAATCTTTATACCGAGCTTTACTAAAATCGAAGGGGAGAACTATACAACAATGAACACTTATTTGTTCTAATTAAAACTATAGAAAAATGTTTAACACTAATTTTTTATTTTTTGAATTTAAACAAATAACATTAATTTAAAAAATATATATTTCAAAATAATTCAATTTTATAGTATAAGATAAGGCAAAACTTATAATATAAAAATATAAATTTCATTAAATATAAACAAGTAATGAAGTAAATGAAAATGAAAAAGAATTAAAGATTGTCATATTCTCAAATTAGTCTTAAATTCAATTAACTGAATAAAATTAACTAGTTTAAAAATTAAACTACACACTTATATGATTATAATATTTTTCTAAAAAAAACAATTATTTAAAAACTCTATTTAATAATTTATTAATTTATAATAAGGTTTTAAATGATTATACGAAGAAATCATTTTCTTATTATAAAATTGTTCGTTTAAATTTAACATTTCTGAAAATAGTGATATAAACTTTTAAAATTCTGTTTTGAACAAATGTAAACCACTTTATTATAAACGCAACATTTATCAATTGAAATAACTGAATTTATAATGCGGTTGTGATTTTATTGATTCATAACTTATAAAGCAATTACATTTTTTAATAATTATATAACGTCGGGATTAGTAACTTAAGGAATAAAATTTTTGAAAAAATAATATTTCTCAAATATTGAATTTAAATTATTTTTATTTTTAAACTAGAAAACAATTTTAATTATATCACGAAATTTTCAGAGTGAGAATATTAAATAATGGAATTAATAATGCATTTTTGGAAGAAATAGAAAATTTCATATTTGTAAATTGTTTGGACAAAAATTGTAAATTTTGTAACGAATTGAATAATAAACATTTAATAATAACAACGGGACCTAATAGTTCCGAAATTGTAGGTTATGTTTGTGTCCATTACAGATTGATTTAACGGTTTATTTTATTAAAATTATCTAACAATAAAATCAGTTTTTATTACATATTTTAGATGTAGTTAAGTGTTAAATTTATTTGTACTGAAAATTGATAGCCTTTGCTCTTTTTTATTTCAAAAACATACAAACATAACCTACAATTTTGCGGAATCTTGGGTCCTTTTCTTTGCACCGCGTCACAAATATTCAGTAATAAATATTGAACTTTTCTTCAAGTAATAATTTTATATTTTATTTTTATAATTTTTATAATGTATGTTCTAAATGGAATTTTTTTATTATTTGTTGAAATTATAATTGCAACAATATCATGTCCCTATTTATTTTAAATTGGAATTACTTACCTCTGGAACAACTTATCACTCTCACTGCTCTCAGAGTCACTGTCTTGGTCTTCACTATTATTTTCAATCACTACTAGATCATCTTTCTCTAATTCTCTGTTTACAATTCGCCGAAAATGACGCTTGGAATATCCACATTGAAGGGATGCTTTTCTTTTAAATGAATCCATTTTCTCAGGATAAAGTTTCGGAAGTCACAAAATATCACTCGGAAAAATGTCACTAAAGAATATATTACTTCTTTTTGTTATTAAGATTAACTTTGAACTAACAGACATATTAAACAAACCAAAAATTTGGAAAGAATCACGTACGAAAAACACGAACGCATGCATAACCAGAATGCGTTTGTTTTCCAAAAATTTTCGTCTGCTATAGTAGAAGATTCTATAAGATTCTAGAAAAAACGTCACTTCCTCTAATCCCATTCCGATGTTTAAAAAATTGTTCAATTATTCAACTGTATTTTACAAAATAGAAAACATTTTATTTTCATACATTTACATAAATAATCATTGTAAGAAATATATAAAATTGTTTAAGATTTTTAAGAACTTAAAAATATTATTACTACAAGATAATCCAATTAAAGTCGCAAAAATAAATAATAGACACATGGCAACGTCGCTGACACGAGAAAAAAGCCGGCCGGTAAGAGGACTCACGTGTTTTGTTTTCGATCGCGTCATACGTGATCGCAGTTTATACGGGCTTCTTCTATTGTTTTGTGCAGTTGTGTGAAAATTGATAAACTTAATCATGTGCGACTTTGCAATTGTAAATTTTGAAGACGGGATGGCCATCATTAGATCCAGTTGGGCAATTAGAGACGAAAAGGGAAAAATAAGTTCCAGTTATTACTCGATGGGAAAAAATGCAAATTCCGTCGTTCGCCATCTTTTGTCTAGAGAAGATGTAAAAATATCAATTTCGAAGGGAGGCTGGAAAATTCTGCCCGTCGAACATTTATGCGATGCAAGTAAGTATAATTTGAAAAAAAATATCTTACAACTGAAAAATCTTATGATCTTAATTGGTCGGAACATTAGTTTTCACTCGAACATAAATATGTACAGACGGATCATAGAAGAGCATACGTGCCATATAAAATACATTACGCGTATACCTTTCTACGATCTATTGCAGTTTAATTATAGAATTACACATTACCAATACATTTATTATTTATATTATTTAATTTCTTCAAAAATTCATTTTTTTTAAAAAAGTTGATGTATATGTGCAAAATTTAAAACAATAATTTTGTCAGAAAATTTATTTCCTGAGAATGAAAATATCAAAAAATTCAAACTTTTTGTAATCCAAGTAACTATGAAGTCAGTTACATTATGTTATTTCAATTATGTATCAGTAAGAGATTTTTTGTTCAAAATATAGTTGTTTATATATTTGTTCAGAACAAAACTAAAAATTTTAATGAACAATTTATTTAACCAAAAAATGAAAGTGTTATCTTATTTAAAAATTTATTACAAAATAATATTAAATTATTAAATAGAATTTTTAAATAACTTTTTTTAGAAAAGTGTTTTTTTAATCATTTAAAATTTATATTATATATGTAGTTGAATTTTTTAAATAGTTCATTTTGTATAATTAACGAATATAATACTATAATTTGAGGATTTAAATTTTCTGAATTCTTTTGAAAATGTAAAAAATTAATTTTACAATATAAATTGAAAAATTGCAACATAAACATAGACTTTGTTCTTATATTATTCATTCGATTTTATAGAATTCAAGTCTTATGAGAGTAAAAATAATTTAAATTTAAACATTTGTGCAAATTTAATAATGAAAAATCTATTATTCAATAAAACAATTATAAAACTATGGTTTTACAGTTTTGTTTTTTTTGCAAAAACTGAGTGAATAATTTAAGTTTTTAATAAAAGAATGTGTATTTCGCCGACAAAAAATTGAGAATTTAAGTTAAAATTTTGAAATGTGTAGATAAAATATTCTACAGAAATTATGATTGTCATCAGAGCAATGTGTTGCAAAAAGTTCTTAAAATTACTTTAATTTTTAAATATAAAAAAATAACTACCTATTTATAAATTAAAAAACTTGTTAAAAAATAAACAATGAAATAATTGTTTTCTAAAACATATGAAACTTATTATAAATTATTATTATGTTATTAAATAATTGAAATTAAAAACAATTTTTTACAAATCATGAAATTTTTATATATATGTCTTGACATTTATTACGTCCAATTAAGAATTATAAAATTGTAACTTTTTTGCTATGAAAGTATAAACATTTATTTAAAAAATTTTATTTTCTGAATTTTTATGGGTCCCAATTGATAACTTATTACTTGTGAGAGTAAATAGAAAAGGCGTAACTCACGAAAACAGATTGAAAAATGTATATATTTTCACTCTCTGAAATTGAATCAGTAAAATTTATTAATTTTCTAGTGAGTAAACATCTTGTTACTTCAATCAGTGAAATGTCATTAGAAATAAGTAAAAAAATAACCCAATTTTGATTCATTTTTCAATGATCTAAGCAATTAAAAATGACATAATTTCAATAACTACTATTCAAATTTTCAGTTATATTGAAAAAAATATTATTTTATATCATTTTAATTTTTAGGTTCTTATGAGTTAGCGACTCAAAAGATTGATGTGTTAGGAAAATTGTCAGACATAGAAAGTGATGATAATAAAAATCTCGAAAAACTGCGCAAGACGAGACATCTTAGATGCGCAAAAACATTTCAGGATTTTGAAACCGCCGTCGATGCTGCAGTGCAAGAAAAAAGGATGCCTTTCAGTAGGTTTCTTTAGTAATTTAAAGAATTAATTTTTAAATTACATGTTGGACATGGTAAATTTTTGACACAAGTAGCGAAGGTATCTTGCAAATTAACATAAATTTATCGTTTTACAATAAATAATAAATTAACAGCACCAAACTATTTTAATACCACGGATCATAAGTTGTGCCTTATTTTCACATTTTTTCAACTTTCCCCTTTATGAAAAAAAAATTACTGTAATAATTACTAGAATAATTACTGAAAATACAGTAATTTTTTCGCTTTACATTATGAAAAAATTGAATGCACTCACATAATAAATAAAACCTAAAAAAACGATTTCATTGCAATTTAAAATGAGTAATGTACTTAAAAAAATATATTCGCGAAATAATTACTGGAATTCCAGTAATACTTTTTCATAAGGGTCTCACCAAGTTTCAAATTTTAAATAATCTTCATTTTGGTTGATTTTAATTTTAATTTTACAAAATTTCCACTCATAAAATTTTTAAACTAATTCAAATGTAATTGATCAAAATTTAAAAGTATCTGAATTCCAATTCATTAGTAATTGAAATTATAATGTATTGTTTTCGCGAAATTTTTCGAACTCATTTTTTTGACATATCTTTATGTTTTTTGACCTCAGGAATCCAAAAATGACATTTTTAGAAAATGTCATTCCGTATGTGTGTGTGTATATACATTACATTTTCATAAATATCTCAAATTCTATAAGAGCTTTAGGGCTGAATTTTTTTTTAAATTGTAGATCTCACTTGGGGACATAAAATGAGAAAACTTTGGGACAAATTAATACATATTAACTATATTTTTTTTGACTTTTAAAATTTTTGAAAAATCGTTTTTTGCCCATAACTTGAAACACATGTTTTGAAAGTTAAGATGTTTTTACTTAATTTTGTAGAGTTTTTTAAGACGCATTTTTTGAGCTATTGACGAACAATCTGCTATCATTTTATCCAAAGTTATTGACATTTTAAAAATCATAAAAAATCGTTTTTTGCTCATAACTTTAAAAAAATGTTATGACACCTACAGTTTTTTTAGTTTCATTTTGTAGAGATTTTCAAGACGCATCTTTTGACCTATTATTTTAAATTTTATTGATTTAAATCTTTATTGGTAAATTGATTCTAATTTTAATTGATCCAAATAATATTAATGTAAATTTATATAAAACTCCAACTCCAAACTTGATGTACCCAAATTTCAGTTTAATCCATTTCAGTGTGCCTCTAAAATTATACTCCCGAAAAAATTTTCAAAAATTGAAACAGAAATTTTTTGGATTTTACAGAGAAAGTTTTTTTAAAATGTTTAAATGATTTTTCACTTTGTTAAAAATAAAACTGATATTTTTTTACTTTTCTAAAAATTGAACTAAGTGATTATGTGAAACAAAAGACAACTTTTTTATTAAAGCAGTGCTTTTATAATAAGCAACGCTCTATATTGCTCGAGTGTCTCGAATGCCTATGATTATCATTTTTTTAATGCCTTCCACCACAAACAGAAATGTACAAAAAATATATGAAAAAGTAGACATTTATGAAAAATTTTGCTGAAAATTCTAAGGTAATGTCTATAAAATAACAGGTCATAAAATAATTTTTAAAAATAAAAAAATTTTTGAGTTTTTTGATGGCAAGAATGTTTGAAAAGTTTTTATATAAATCATTTCAAGTTCACATTATATATATTTCTTTTTTTTTCTTTAAAATCAGTTCTGACTTTTTTGAGCAAAACCCATTTTTCTATTTTGGTGCAATTTTCCATTTTAAGTTTAGTGCAATAGAATTTTAACTAATTCTGAATTTTATTTATTCAAATTTCAAATCATTTTATCTTCAATTTAATGTTAAATTGATTGTAACCAATTTTTTATATTAATTATATTTTAATTTATTCCTTTTTCAATTAATTCTTAATTTAATTTAACGGAATTGCAATTTATTATAATTTGAATTCCTTCGATTGAAACTGTACGTAATGGATTTTAAATCAATTCACTTAATATTCAATTGCTTTAAATTTCAAAAGATATTTATTATTTTATTTATTAATTTGTTACTTCATATATTTAATTATTTTGTGTAGGAGTGGTAGAAATTTTTCCGGAAATTATTAAACTTTTATCACCTTTTTTGGAAAAATAGTATCCTAATCCCTGTAATGTATAAGCTAGGAAGAATTAAAATTACCATATTCGACGTGTAAAAAATTTTTCAAACTTGTGAAAAGATGTCTATATTTTATTGTCTGCTTTGTTTGGTCACTGATATATTTTACTAAATTTCATATTACAGAAAATATAAAAAATATCTTCCAGTCGCGGATTAAGAAGGAGAACGATAGACAGATGAAGAAATCAAATCTTGAAAATGAAGATTCTCAACGGATTGAAAATGAAGTACCAAAAGGTATAGATAACTCTAATATTGGAGGCACAAAGGCAACAGACTTACTAGAAGAAGACACAATTGAAGCAGAGGCAATGCAGAAGAGTTTAATTTCGGGAAATCCTATAAAAGCAAACTCAAGCGGAGAAAATACAATAGAAACAGTCGAAAATGGCGAAAATGCAATAGAAGCAGGTACAAGTGGAGAAAATGCCATGGATGCAGGCACAAGTGGAAAAAATATAACAGACGCAGAAACAACTGAAGAAACTGCAATGGAAGCAGACGCAAATGAGGAAAATACAATGGAAGCAGGTACATGTGTAGGAAATGAAAACGGTATAATGTAATTAAAGTCAAGTATAAGTTTTATGGCACTACATGCAGAAAATTTTATTTACAATTTTTATTCTTTATAACAATGGGTTTCGACCTAAGTGCCAACAACTCGTACTAGGGGACCCCGGATCAGGCTCGTCTTCATTACATTACATTTCATTCTTTATAGCAATGATTTTTTAAAATCGACAAAAACGTACTCTTTATATCTACTTAAAGAAATTTTAATTAATTCAATATTACCGACTAGTTCATTAAATAAAATACAATATATAGTACTTTAAACAAAATTTTAAATTAGAAAAAACGAAATTTTTTTCTGATAAAATAAGAAAAAGTGAGTCCCTATATTTTTATTTTTTTCCTTAATTTAATTCATTAAATAAAAAATTTTAACCACTATCCACAGTTTTCCACCCATGTGTAAAAATTAAATATAATTTTTCTAAATACAGAAAATTAAATATAATTTAAATATAATTTATATATAATTTAAATATATAATATATATACTGAATTTGCAATATAAAATATATTTAATTTTTCTGCATGGGCATAATAAAAAAAATAATAATTCATTTTATGAAAATTTACTATAGATCATATTTTTTATTATTTGAAAAAAATTCAACTTGTTTTTAAAATAATTATTTTATTATACAAATATTAAATAATTTTTAGCAAAATTATATGAATTGCAAGAAAACAAATTGTTTGTTTTAAATACATTGTCAATTATAAACTACGTACTCTTTTTGAAATTTACTGTTAATCTATAAATATTTTATTTTAATTTTGAATTTTTTAAAAATCTATGAAAAATTTAGTTTTAGATCCGATGGTACAGGAGAGCCAGGAATTTGTGAATAATAATAATGGGACAGACAGAAAATTGCTTATGCAAATTTCCAGAAAAATCACATCAATGGGAGTTGTTTTAAAAATCATGAGCGAAAATCAATCGAATCCTATAGAATCCACTAATATACTACTTGACGATCCTGAAATGAAAATATTTCCCGCCAAAAGTGTCGAGGAACTAAATGAAATTAATAGAAAATTAAAAAAATCAAGTCGCCTGAGAATTAAAGTAAAAAATGCGCTATTATCGATTGGAAAAGGAACATCAATAAATACAACTGTATACGATTTGATGAACAAACTTTTAACATTGCAATGTGGACAACTTTACACGTTTAAGGGAAGGAGTAACAAGAAGCCATCCTTCGAAATTTTAAAATTAACTTCGATAATATGTGGTAAGTATTATTGTAATTCAATCTTGTCGACATTCATAGAGTTTCAATGAATTTTTTTTAATGGAAAAAGGTTTTTTGCAATAGGCTTAATCCATTATATACCATAATTGGTTGCAATAATTTTTGAAATTAATACAATATATTTTTAGCAGTCAATTTATTAATTATTAATTTTATAATTTTTTTACTTTTTTATTATCAATTTATTTATCTATATGTATAAAATTGGCAATTAAATTCTGAAGTTTCAGTGCAAAAAACAATTTATTTGATCTGAAAAAATTACACTTATGAAATACTTAATAGTAAAATTTAGTTTAAGAATAGTAAATTTTACTATTTCTGAAATAAAAATCCAAATATTAACTTCGTAAAAAACTCGATTTATTAATTAAAACTCGCATTTTTTAGAAAACGTCCCAAGTTACAACCTGAATATAACTTGCTAGAAATAACTGAAATATTCGGACGTCCACAAATTATTAATCAGAAATGTATTTTTATGCTCTTCTTACGTTTTTTGTTTTCATTAGATGTAGTCGTGCAAATGATCCCGAAGGCAGATAGGTCCGATGTAAAGAAGGCTATTATATTATGGTTGAACCAATGTAAAAATAAGGAGAAACGTTTACAGTAAGTAAATTTTATAGAGAAATTTTATGTGATTTATATGATTTTCTGCTGACTTGTTTGACATTTTCAGTTTCCCTTTATAATGAATGCAATCATGATTTTATTAAGAATTATTATTTTCAAATATTAAGAATCAGATAAAAGAGAACATTTTAATATTTAACATTTCAATAAAAACTATTTAAAATAACTTAAAAAATTGTATCAAATTCATACGTAACATAAAAAAATTAATAAGTTAAAAAATTGACAACAAATAAGAATACTAGTTAAACTTGAATAGAATATTTTTTAAAATCCAACTTAAGAACTCTCTCTTGAAGAATTCAGAGATATTGAGAAAAATTCATAAAAGTTTTACTAAATAATACAAAAAATTAAATGGAAGAAGGCAAGAATTAAAAATCATAAAAACTATCGTCATTTTCAAATACATCTTTTAATAAAATTTTTACAGTAAATATTAATTTGTTTTTATATTATAGAACTGCCTTACAAAGACGCCAAGTGAATGAGAGAGATGTAATGGAATCTTCAAGCGAAGATGAGGATGAATAAAAGGTAAATTTTTTGTAATTAAATACCCCAGAATTTGAATTCTAAAGTTTAGTTGCAAAGAAAAGAGGTTTTTTAGAAGTAGAAGCATATAAATTACAGTTGCAATTTCGAAAATTAAGGGTAGTGTTAAATAGTTTCAAATATATTTTTTGGAAGAGATATCATTCTTTTGATCATTTAATAATTCGCATTTTTTTAAATAATCAGTTGCCACATTTAATCTTCCGATTTTTAGTCAAATTTTGACATTCCGAATTAATTTTAACATTATAATAGACAGCAGATCTTGTAAATTAGTACAAATTGTAATATTTTATTTTTTCTTAATAAAAACAGGAAAATTTTTTAAATGGGTGTCAGTCGACTATTAAAATTTTACGGACGTGATTAACTTATTTTTTAGGATATAAAATTTATAAATATTTAAATAAAATTATATAAAAAGTTTTATATTTTATTGTTAACAGTTGTTATATTATGTTAACATTCAAGGTTTTTAAGGCCTGTATTTATATTGCTAATTTATTATTATATAAATATGAGAAATTTTTTATACGAATTATTAAATTTTTCTAGATATACGACATAACGAATTTCAAGAATAAAATATAATGTATTGCCCTAAAAGTACCTCTATAATTGTTTATATTTTCTTACCGTAAAAAACGAGTTTAATAAAAAATATGTTAAATGTTTCAGGTTTTTAAAGAAGACGAAGGATTCAAATTTTAAAAAAGACTGCTTAATTTTTAATAAAAATAATGTAACATTTATAATAATAACTTAATAAATCATGTAATAAAAAATTAATCCATTGTTTGTCTTTCTGGCCCCAGTTTAAATATATAAGGTTATTTATATGTTAATAATTCTATAATTTTAAATACTGAAAAAATTTTAGTGTTTATTATTAATTTATTTATTTATTTATTTGTATACAATTCACAATTAAAATTTATAATTTATTTATCCTAAAATTTTATAGACAAACTTGGAGGAAATTATCCGCGCAATTTTTCCAACAATTATTCTTGGAAATTTTCAGAAATTTTACTTTTAAAATTTGCTGCAAATTTGCATTGCAAACTTGCCAATGGGGGGACATTTTTATACATATTTAAAGTTTGCTGCAAACTTGCCGCGCAAACTTCCGAACTTTGCACTGCAAACTTGCCGCAAACTTGCCGAAAAATGTCGTGCTATCTGGGATTCTCTATCTCTTTACGTTTTTAAGATTTTAATGAAAAAAGCAATTATATTTACATTCTCATCACATGAGAAGGTATTATAATTGGTCGAAAATTGACTTTTACTATTTCCATGAAATCTTTACGTTTTGAGGTGCCCTGAGTCGAAAAAACATGGTCCGGCGAAAGTGTCTGTCTGTGTGTCTGTATGTATGTATGTATATGGGGGATCTCGGGTGAAGTGATCAAAGTAAAAAAAAATTTTGTCTCAATTTCGCTCAAACTGGAGTAATTTGTACTTCTATTGGGTGGTAATTTATCGTAAAAAAATTTTTCAATTTGGACCAATATTTACTCGGGGGGTGGGGGTTGAAGTTTATGGGTAGCGTTTTCTTTAATAATTTTTTTTTCTTGAGTATCAAAAAAAAAAAAAATTTTATCAACATCAGTTTCGATAGCTTTTTTAATGCTCTTTCGATTGAGAACATGCATTTTTGAAAAAAAAATTTTTGAACCAAAAAAAATTAATTTCAAAATTTTTTTTGACTTTTTCGGGGTAAAAGGTACGATTTTTTTTTTTTTTTTTTTTTAAAGGAAAGCTGCGATTTTTTCCTGTAGGAACATGTAGTTGAAAAAATGGGACAAGAAAGATTAAACCTTGAAAATTAACATTTTTTATTCACTTTAGCGCTGCGCTGCGATCTACCACGTGACACATTAGTAGTATGGTATTTGGAGAGAAACATTAATGCTCTCTGCATTTTACAGGGTTGAAACTGTTATTGAGTAAATACCTGTATTTCATCAACGTTTAAATTTGGATAATAATAAATGAATAATAATTATATAAAGTGGAATCTTGGAAATTATAAAATCGGTTCAAAAATAAATGTAGCATACTAATAAGAGTTTACTTTATTATAGTAATCAGTCTTATCAAATAAATACTCATTTATATCAATTCATCATTCATTTGGTTATTCATTTATCCATTTATTCGAATATTTGACTGCAGTGAGTCTTTATTTGACTAAGGAATAATATAAAATGAATATTTTTTTCATTAAAGTTTTCTTCACAATTCATTACTTACATTATTATTGATGATCATTTCAACTTTTAATATTAAAAAAAAGTCGTTTAAAAAACTGAATGAGAAAAATAATTTTGAATTTCGCGGTCAAGTGAAAGGTTTATTTCATATTTCATACACGAGATGGCGCTAACTAGACTATTGAAATTTCACTCGAAAGCGATATTGAACTGCTACAGTATATAAGAAGCATCAGTAGTCTGTAGAATTGCATTATAAAATATTATTTTACAACAGTATCTCCGCAGGTTTGTACTATTTTATTTCATCGGATATTTTTTAATATTTCCTTTCAGCTTTGTTTGTCTTGTCCTTTTTTGGAAACTATGGAGCCACAAAAAGAAAAAGACAAAATTATTTGGAATAATGTATGTTCCAATCCTTTCAAGATAAAAGGCCACAATATACGAAATGTTCGTCGTATTTCTAAGAATTTGCATATGAAATTTCCTACATTATTGTCAGAATCTATGCTCTGCGATTCATGTAGGAAAAAACTTAGCAAACTACAAGAAATGCCAGACATTTCAGGTAATAAAAATTATATTTGTGGTGACCTTCCTTCAGATCATCATAATGATAATGATAATAATGATGAAAATGATAATGTTAATGATAATGATGATAATGATGAAAATGATGATGATAAAGATCCGAACTATATCGATCACACTGAAAAGATCATGGAATGCAATGATAAATATCATTGCATTAATTGAAAAATTTTTTTACGATAAATTACCACCCAATAGAAGTACAAATTACTCCAGTTTGAGCGAAATTGAGACAAAATTTTTTTTTACTTTGATCACTTCACCCGAGATCCCCCATGTACGTATGTAGACACAAAATGTTGTTGACACAATAACTTTTGTAAATTGACTTTTACTATTTCCATGAAATCTTTACGTTTTGAGGTGCCCTGAGTCGAAAAAACATGGTCCGGCGAAAGTGTCTCTGTCTGTGTGTCTGTATGTATGTATGTATGTATGTATGTATGTATGTACGTATGTAGACACAAAATGTTGTTGACACAATAACTTTTGTAAATCGAAACAAATCGTTTTGCAATTTTGCATACACAAAGTTAGTATCAAAATACAGGTTAAGTTCGTTAGCCAACCATTTTCATCAAAAAATGCAAAAACTGCGGGATTTTCAAAATTTTGAAATTTAATTTTTTAAAAAAAAATTTTTTTTTCACTACACAGCATTACAGTCCAGGAAAAAGAAAACATTTTTTTTAAATAAAATTTTTTGGTCAAATTAAAATTGTAAAAGTTACATTGGTTTAATTGTCGAAAAACACCTAAAAAACGCCAAAAAAGACATTTTTTATGAAAAATTAAATTTTATTAACTCTTTCATGGCCAGTGGGACACATACGTCCCACCTACTTCAAAAAATCATAACTTTCTTAAAACTTAATCGATTAACTCCACTAAGATCTCATTTTGAAGGGGAGGGATAGAGTAACAAATGTAAATACATGTATTTTTTTAAAAAACTACCCTCTTTGAAATACACCCCTTCAAAAAACCCGAAAAATGAGAAAAATGAAAAAACAGGTATAAATTTCAGAAGAAATTTTTTTTTCAGGCTTTCATAGTAACATATGTTTAAAAATATTGCAACCTTTGTAAAAAAAAATTAATATTAAAAATTCAACCCGAGGGTGCAGAAAAATAACTAAAACTACCCCTAAAAACCAAAACCTTTAAAAATTAATAAATTCGCTTGAAAATTGTTACTTGGGGGTTTTCGGGGTCGCTGATTACGAATCCGATGTCCGTTTTCAAAAATTCAAAATGGCGGATCCAAAATGGCGACCGATAATTATAAAAATTTATTAGATTCGCGTGAAACTTATCACTGGGGGGTTTTCGGGGTCGCTGATTACGCATCCGATGTCCGTCTTTAAGAATTCAAAATGGCGGATCCAATATGGCGACCGAGAAATATAAAAATTCACTAGATTCATGTGAAACTTGTCACTTGGGGGGTTTTCGGGGTCGCTGATTACGCATCCGATGTCCGTCTTTAAGAATTCAAAATGGCGGATCCAATATGGCGACCGAGAAATATAAAAATTCACTAGATTCATGTGAAACTTGTCACTTGGGGGGTTTTCGGGGTCGCTGATTACGAATCCGATATCAGATTTAGAAAATTGAAAATAGCGGATCCAATATGGCGGACGAAATGACTAACTTTCATTAGATTCATCTGAAACTTATTACTCAGGGGTTTTCGGGGTCGATAATTACGAATATGATGTCAGTTTTTAAAATTGCAAAATAATGCTGGTGTCATTATTGCCTATTAATTTTGTAGCTTTTAGTGCCTGTTGTTAGGAGTCTAGTATGAACATGAAAATTACAGACACAGGCTCAATCGGTGAGGTAGTGGGAGAACGCTACACAGAGAAAACGAAACGACGCGCTGATTGCCTTATAACAGCAGTTCCACATGGGAGCTTCTTTGCTACCGTCGTACCCCCCCCCCTTTCATTTACCCAATGCACTCCCCTCTACGCCATCGTGGAGGGGAGTGCATTGAGTATGTACTCAATGCATTACTCAATATGATAATAATCAGTGAAAATTATTTTTTTGATTGTTGAAAACTGAATTCAGTATCTTATAACTTATGAATTAGGGGTGGATTTCAAGGGTAGGGGGTGAGTTTATTATTATTATCCATATCTGTGAAACATTGAAATACTTTTTTACAATTCAGAAGCACTTAGAATCCATATAATTTTTTTCATTTATTCACAAAAACATTTATGATTAAGGGGTGGTTATTTGACTTAAGGGTTGTTTTTCAGGGGTTGTTTATATTCAGTATTAATACTTAGTTATCATAGAAAATTTTTTTTTTCATATTTTCGAAAATCAGTGAAAATTATTTTTTTGATTGTTCCAAACTGAGAATAGTTATGAATTAGGGGTGGGCTTCAAGGGTAGAGGGTGAGTTTATTATTATTATTATCTATGTCTGTGTAACTTTCAAACAATTGTTTATAATTTAGAAGCAATTAGAATCTATAGATTTTTTTTAATCATTTACAAAACCTTTCACCGTCAAGGGATGATTATTTGACTTTGAGGGAGTTTTCAAGGGGTTATTGATCCTTTTCAATTTTTAAGCAACAAGGCAATGTTTATAAATAAATAAAAAGTAGATAAGATCTGAAAAATATTTAATTCATCAATTTGGTTAAATATCAGTTTTTTGGGGTAGTAATGTACCGTGGGGGTGGTTTTAAGGGGTAAGACATGTTAAAAAAAAATTTTTTCTCATACTGAATACTTTAGTAATTAAATCTAATATACATTATAAGTCTAAAGTAACGACAAAAAACTCGGCCATTAAAGGGTTAATGGGTTGAAAAAAATCAGTCCATAAAATAGACACATTCTCATCATAATTGACTCAGAAAATATGATACAAGTGAAAAAAATATCAATTTAGA